GCAGTTTGTACTGGCTTCTGCCATCTTTAGTGGGAGGCCTAGTAAAGGCTGAGTTGTTCTTTCTTTGTCTTCACCACCCATAGGAAAAGAATCTGCTTCCTCTCTTTGTAGAACTGAATGACTCCAAGGAATGTTGAACCTTAAACTTTATTTAATAAAGAGGAAAGGCTTCCAGACTTGGATAATTTGCCTTGGAAGCATGAGGGCTTAAGCTGATACTTCAAACTCGTGTGAGACAGTGCAGTGTTTACAATGTCTGCATTGAATGCTGTAATGTGTTGATCAATCTCTGATGTGGAAACAGCATAAAAACACTGCAATCAGAGGAAGTAGCCATTATTTCATCATTTAAAAGAAAAGATACTATCTTCTCAAATTCAAAGTCTCCAATGAGAGAGAGCTTTAGTTCTGGAATGCCTGTATCTGGACATTGCATGACAAACCCTGTGGTCAGGCATGGTGGCACACTCTTTTCAAGGTAAAATGTGAATGTGCAATATTTGCTGCTTGGGGTTCTAACAGTTCAAAAAACATTCTTGGAGGGTAACAAGATTTTCTGGAAGTGAGCCACTTTTGAATGCTATTGCCAGCACGCCTGCCTACTCTGGGTATCATCAGAAACTCTGCTGAAAAATTAAACAAACATAGTTCTTGGCATCTAAACAGATGGGAAAGGACATGTTGACTCCCAAGTCTTTAGCTGAGGAGGTAGTCTGCTTCTCATTGTTACCACTATGCAGTGAGGAACTGCAAAACACCCACATAGATTTTCAGACCTGCTAGCTGCACTTAACCTTTAATCCTGCAAGTACTCAGCCATAAGCATATAATTTTAAATGTCTGGTAGTCCAACCGACTCCAATGGGAATACGTGCTGAATGAAGTTAAATATTTGCATAAACATTTTCAGGATCAGGGTCTTTCACTACAAATAGTGTTCTAGCACTACAAACGCAAACTGGTCTGAATCAAAATTGCAATATATTAGTAGACCTATATCCTCTACGGATGTATTTTAAATTTCATGTTGGTGTGTGATTTCTGTGTTATAAAATACCCTATATTAGGCTAATAAGTAACCTTTCTCTGAGAGAGAAATTCTTTACTTTGTGACATAAATGCTTAGGTTTGAAAGAATGTAATCTGAACTGGGTCAGCAACGTATCAGCTTCCATGTATCAAAGAGATTCAGGCATCTTGATCGATTGTATTTTTGCCTTTCAATTTTTTAAAACCTATGTTCTGTGTTTTAGACCTGGTCTGAAAAGCTCCATTCTGTCTTTGCAAGGACAAGATTGCTTGCATGAGTAAGAGTTTGACTCACTTATTCCTAAAGGTGAGGACTGCTTTCCATTTGCACTGCTGAAGGATTTGTTCACCTCTGACTAGATCATATGACTCCAGAAAGGGATGAGCAACTTTTGTGTTGTCTAAGTGACTCTGGTCATGGCTGTGGCTAGTTTTGTACCCTCTCTCATAGGAGTTCAGTAAAGTTCCCTCTGTTTTACGCCCTAGCTAACYAGATCAGAATTTTGTCCCTCAAATCTAGGCAATTGCATTGCAGATCAAAGGCAAAGTTCTGATGATTCCTTCTGCAAATTTGACTCCTATTTGTACTCTCATATGCTTGATCTCTTTTTTGTTTAAAGGGCTGTGGTTGATACAGAAGCATTTATAGTCTGAATTATTCTATCAATGTTGCTTTYAAAATATGTTAATATTTCCTTTTGAAATGCGAAAGAAAAATAATTTTTAAAAATCTTACATTTTTCTTTAATTTATTCCTTTAATTGAAGTGCATTTTTTCCCAGTTTTTCTTTGCTGATGAAACATGTTAGGACTTTTGAGGTAAAGAGATATATGTATACAAATGCATTGTAATAGAACAAGCAGCTTTTCATGGAGTTAAATTGACATAACATTTTCTGTTCTAAACCTCTGTGTTTTCTGCAGTCTCTGAGATATAAATGATTCAGGATGAAATCTGCCGGATTGGGACTTTGTCCAAATGTGAAGATTTTGAAAAGTCTTGAACAAAACTGGTTCAGCCAGTTCAGAATATCAGGAGAGTGGGGGAAAAAAAGCATTTCTTGATCTAAATAGACTCTTACAACCTTTTTTGAGCATTTGTGTAACTTTATCAGCAGAAGGCTGAAAAATGAACTCTGACATGGAAATAGCCTTCTGTGAAGTAGGCATGTATTTACTTGTTTGAGAAGAAATTAGTTTTGATTTTACTGAGTTATAAACCTTTGAGAACTGTGGTTGAGCATGTGCAGTGGATTATTTCAATAAGCCTGTGAAGTGTGCAGCTACAGAAGAATTTTCTGTACATGCATGGCTGGCTAATTTTGCTGGAAAGGGAAAAATCTATCTAAGCACATTGCTAAAATCAGTGAAATTACCTGGGGCTGCGGGGAGACCTTTGAAGACCATACTAAGATCTTTAGGACTATGAAAAGGGCAAGAAAAGTTCCTGTAGGCATTGCAGGATGTTTAAAGAATAAGTGGCCTGCAGATTTTGTAAAGTTAAATGGGATTATGGCTTCAGTTAGAACATGAAAGTGTATGACTTTTTTTTGTGGGGACATATGTCATGCAAAGCACTCTTTCCCTCAGCGGTTCTGACCAGTGAAGGAATCCCTCAGCAGCACGGAAACTGCTTCTCCATCTCATTGTGGCAGGAGTTTATTGGGATATTCATAAGCTTGTGTGGCTGAGTGCTCTGATTTTTATAGAAAACCTTGCTAATAAAAATTTAGCTTTGGAGTGAGATGTGTGTATGTGTATGTATGTGTGTGTGTGTGTCTTTTTAGATGCAGGCACAGTCAGTGATTTTGCAGGAACTGCTCTCACTKGCATCAAACACACTCCGGATAAATCAAAAACTCTCATACAGAACATATGCRTGTCTTCTGGCAGCCCATAGTCCCCAGTGCACGTCACTTCAAATAGATGCTATTCTATTCCAAAACTTTTATTTTGCCCAAATTGGGTGTCTGTCTCCAACTCCCTCCAAAGCCAAATTCATAATGCTCAGTTTATTGAAAGATTCATTTGCTCTGAAGAWATAGATCTCTTTGTTTTACACTCTCTGAATGGATATTTACTTGGAATTCCTCTCTTTGTSTTTTTACCCATGCTGTCTCTCCACCAGTGCTCTGGCAGGTAGGAAGGTATGTAGTTATTCCCTGAAATCTTTGCGTGCCATACAGCTTCTGCCCAGGCAGTGCCAACACTGACACGATTCACTTTCTTGACAAGATTGTCAGTGGAGTGACTGTGCTGGTGAGCAGGTGTGTTTTGGACATGCGCCATTTCTTTTGGCTACTGAACCTTTTCCTACTTATGCAGGATTTATGCCAGACCCCCTGGCCACATCCTGGCCCAGCTTGGTGACSRGTCTGCTACAGAGGTTCTGTAGCCACTGGTGTGGCTGAACTGGCAGAGGCCTTACATTGGTATAGAGAGAAGGAGCAATGTGGGGTACAGTCAGAACAAGTGGGAGTAAAACTGTCTATTCATAAAATACAGTGAGATGATGGAAAAAATGATATTTCAAAACCAGGAATGCTCTCCTTTGAGTGGATATTATGCCTCTGTAATAGAGGTGCTTTTTAATTGTTAGAGAATGTGTCTCTTGTTAGTTTCATGCTCTCATTTCTTGATGCCTCACAGTGGGATGAGATAGCAGCAAATGCTGAACAACAGGAAACTCATTGGCGTGGAAAAGCAGCAGCATGAGCTGTGCACATTCAAGTCAGTGAACAAGCAGCACTACAGTGTCTGTCCTGGGGTGTTCAAGGGTGGAACAGGGTAAGGAGAAAGAAAGGTAATTTTACCATGCAATCACCCCATATCAACAGATCAGTCTCTAAGAGTGGAGCCTTACGTGGGTCAGCCTTGTGGAAAGATCCAGGCAGAATCCTCCAACGATCCCTTTAGGCCTGTGTTAGTGGTGCCCATGCTTCCAGACTGGGCACKGTTGTGGCTGTGACTTCAGAAGTACAAGTGGAGCAGCTTGTGACCTCAGTGGGATGGTTGGGTKTTACGTCCTCAATGTGACCCATATGGCCATGGAAGGATCTCTTAAATAATGTCATACAGAGGGCAGTGGACATGCCCTGACATGACTTTGCTTTCTGACCTTTGAYGCATAATGAAGATCTGCCTCACTACTGGTCTCAAATGACCCCAGAGACAACAACTTAGCACATATTCCTTTCCAGAAAGAGGCAGAGGCACGACTTGTGTCGTGGCCAGTCTGGATTTTCTGGGAGCCTGCGAGCCTCTATGTAATCACCCAAGTTGAGTGGGTGAGCAAGACGACTCCGAAGAAACGAGACTCACACAACAGCACGGTCCTTGCAGGTTGCCCCGAACGAGGGCGCAGCCACTACCAAATGCTGCGAGCCCGGAGCACCCCTGATGCCCGAGGTGCCGCTGCGGCACTGCCCATGGCTCAGCCGCTCAGRAAGCCCGCGCACCGCTGTAGGAGCGCGACCACGGACACTTCGAGCTGAGGGAGGCGGGGGGTGCGAGGGCCAGTCTGGAGTTTTTGTGGTACCGGGAGTCTCTGTGTAAGCACCCGGCATGAGCGGGGAGGGAGTGGGACAACTCGGAGGAGAACAGACCCGCACAGCCGCACAATTCCGCGGTGCCCACCGCCTCAAGGCGGGGAGCGGCCGCGTCCCCGCCGCCTGCCCGCTGCCGGCGGGGCGCGGCTCCAGCCCCACGGGCCGGCTCGGGCAGCGCCCGCGGAGACCGGCGGCCGGCAAGCGGAGCCCGGGGGTTCCCGGCGGCGGGAGGGGCGAACGGCGCCGGTCGGGGCCGGTGCCCGCCCTGCAGCCGTCGCGGGGGACGCGCAGAGGGCGCGGCGGAGGCGGYGGCCCGGCGTGCTGCAACCATGGCGACGGCGGCGGAGCCGGCCCGCCCCCCGCGGGGCCGAGCGGCGCGGGATTGGTCGGGGGGCGGGCGCTCGCCCTCTGCCCCCTGACCCTGCGCGGCGGCGGCGGCGGCAGCGGCGGCGGTAGGAGCGGAGGTGGCGGCTGCTGGCGGCCGTTTCCTGGTGGCCTGGCGGCGGCGCCGCGTGAAGGAGAATGCGGCGCAGGTCTCGGCTGCTGCTCTGCTTCGCCTTTCTTTGGGTGCTRGGCATCGCCTACTACATGTACTCGGGCGGCAGCGCCGCGCTGGCCGGCGGTGGCGGAGGCGGCAGAAGCAAGGTGAGAGCTCAGCCCGGGGAAGGTGCTCCCGCTCCGTGCCCCGGTAGCGCGGGCCGGGCTGGGGGCAGCGCTGMGCGGTCCTCGGGGCGGGAGCAGGGAACAGGGGCGGCGACCGCGGGGGTCTCTTCGTCACCGCTCGCTTTCAGGCGGCGTGAAACTGCCCTGGGCTGCTCCTTCCTCCTTCCCGCCCGCCCTTCTCCAGCCCTCTTCCCGGAGGCGGATGGCTTCTTTGTGGACTGCAGACCGATCTCAGCCCTGTCGCGTCGCTCCCTATCCAACTGCAGCCGGCCACGTCCCGGGCCGGGGGAAGTTGGTGTGGGAACGGAGGTTGGGGAGGGCCGGGGCTGCGCTCCGGAGCCGGGGGGCCCTTCTGGCTGCGCTCCGCTCCCGGCGTCTGCCCCTTCCTGCCTTGCCCGCCGGCACCGGAGTCTTTCGGGCTCGTGTTCCCTCCTAGAGAACAGGCGAGGATCCTAGCTGCTAAAGCATTTGGATGCACGGCACTTTCCTTTCTCCTTAGCGCTGTGCCTGAAGGATATCGTTTTCCGACCGGTTTTGCAATATCCAGGAAACAGCCGGATTTGTCATGTTTTGTGTCTATGGCGTGGAAGGTCTGTCTCTTCCTTCTTCTTCTAAAGCTCTTGTTACAAGTGTTACTAATGTTCAAGAAGTTCCCTGCGGACAATACAGGAGTAATTTTTCATTATTCTGGCGATCAAGTTACTAAGTAGATTTTTCAAGGTGTTGTAGTAATTCATCGACCAGGAACACAGCCGATCACATCACAGTTCACGTTTATGTCAATCTGAACAGATTCTTTATGGTGTGATGTGAGTGGGACATCACTGTGTATAAAGTTGCTTTTCTTAGAAAAATTAAGTGCTTTTTTCTTTGGTAGTCTTCCCCCCTAATAAAGATTAAGAAAATCTTTAGAAAATCTAAGTCCTTTTAGAAACTGTTTTTAAAGACTTCTATTTTGAAATAGAAAAGGTGTAAAGCATATCATAACTGCATATTTTTTTTACCAAAGAAACCCTAGAAATGGCAAGAGGTTAATCAGATGAAGTGCACCACAGTTGAACGGTGTTGTTCACTAATAAATGGCTGCCTCCTGTTAAATGAAAAGTAGTGTTTTGAAGGTCTGGCTGATATATAAAAAGAGGAACRTTTTTATGTTGCTTTGGTGCAGTTTGGTTAATCAATGCCTGTACTCCCTGTAGAAAATTGCTGATGACTAGTTCCTGTGTCAGGTCATGGAAGCAAATACTTAGATGGCTACTTATGTGAGCAAGGGTCTAGGGAGTGAGTCACTCCTCTCTGATAATTSGCTCTCTGTCCTGTTTTTTATTCTTTCTGTAACTTAGGAATGAGTTCAACAGCATGTTTTGACGTAATATATGAAAGCAAGTGTTAAGTATGTATTGCCAAATGACAWGGTCTTGGTCTTTCAAACTAGATACAGTAGCAGAAATAGATCAAGCATGTGATAAAAAGTAAGGCAGTAGCCTAAAGCCTTTCTTGAAGATCCACCAGAGTGTATTTAGAAAGTAAGAGCAATCTTGCACTGCTCCTGTATAATGGGATAAAGAAAAGCTATCAAAGCAAATGTATCTGCAGATAGGGAAATATATTTTTAACTCTTATGGTGTGTTACATTTGTAGTTTCCAGACAGATTTGCTATTCTGTTTAATTAATTTTTACTGCTGGGGAAACTGCAGTGTGGGGGTAGTGATTTGCCCAAGGTCACCTAGAAGACTTGGTGGGAATGAAATAGAAAAGAAACAAGTATTTCTGAGTAAGAGTCTGGTACTTAATCTGCTAGAACCTGTTGTTTATTGTTGATATTAGTGGTTGTTTTTATTACAGTTTTAAGAGATCARTGATCCTGTTACTTGCTTCAGTAGYGTAATTTGGTATCATTCTTCACAAAATTTAGTAGGCGTTACTGGTCTGTGTAATTGGGAAAGTTTAGTAAAGATAATTTAAAGAAAATGAGACATTTCATAGACCTGCACTGAAGCCCAGTGCTATGTTTAAAAATAAGAGTTTAAAGTAAAGTAAGGAGGAAAGTAGGTACTGTGACCACAAGAAACAAGTGGGGAAATTAACTATTATATGTGGATTGGTGGTTTAGGATTCTATTTTCTGTCAGTGAAGCGTAAAATTTAATCCCAGGCTTCAGCGTAGGTTAGTAAATGTAAGTAGAGGAAGATGTGTGTAATGTAATAGCTTTTGAATCTGAATAAAAGGCTTATTAACTTAGTGTCAGACACTGGTATAAAGCAAAAAAACCCAYGAACTGTATTAAACTTATGACCAGAAACCCTGCTGTAGTAAATTTCTTGATGTGTATGACTTCATGTAGTCCTTATTACTTGCCCACTCTTTCAATATAATGGAAACAGAGTTGCTTACAGAAGAACATAACTTTTAATAAATTGAAGTCTCTGCCATGTTCAGTCTATAAAATTACAAAAGCCAGAAGGGGATAGTTCTTCTTTTGTGTAAGTAATTTGCATGTTGATTACAGATCTGGTTGTACAAACAGAATGTTTTTCTGTAAGGATTATCTTTCTCTTTTTTTCCATACACAGACCCAGTGTGTTATTCAGACATACTGGACTCGTTTGATATGACGCCCAGTCTTGTGATGTGTTGAACAGCACCAATTCCCTTTCTCTTCGATAGAGTTGGTGGTTTCCCCTTGGCCAGGATTGCACCTGAGTAAGAGAAAAAAGCGGCTTTTTTTTTTTTTTTTTTTTTTTTTTAATTTGTATTTTTTTCTTTTTTTTAGAGTAGTGTCAGAGTTAATCTAAGCTTCTGCTTTTTTTAGTTCTTCATTTGCAACCATTCTAATAAGACCTGTGAAGCTGTTTGGGTGTTGCAGTGTGTGGTACAGCCTTGATAAAGCTTTTGGTCCCTCTCAACATTGGTGCAATACACAACTCTTTGTGCGTTATATTGGCCTGGTAGGATCTAAACAGGCATGGAAGAGTGTAAAGCATGGAAGAGTCTAAAGCACACTAAGCACAAGCTGTCTCGCTGGTAAATGTGTAAATAATAAAAACAATTTTAAAAGCAGAAGGATGTAATGCTTCTCATTTTGGACCTAGGCATAAAAACTGTAGTAGAAAGAAGTGGTGTATACCACATCTAGAATTCAGGGTTGACAATTTTTATTTTGTTTCTTCTTGGAAAGRTAGAATGAAAGCCTTTCATTCAAGATGTGCTTGAAGGGGACAGAAGGGTTTTGGGGTTTTTTCCCCTTCTCCCCTCCACTGAATCTCCAATCAAAGTTMTTGTAAACATGAGAGAGTCATATTCAGTTGACTCCTTTTCCAGCTGGATAAYTGGGTTGTAAATTGGAAAGAATGAGTCTGATTCACATGTTTAAAGGTTATAGAAATGGTTCTCATACAGAGGCTGTATGTGAGAAGAGAGCAAGTTGCAAGCCCAGCAATTGTGAGACTGAAAAGAATGTGGTCTACTTTTATGTTCAGTAAATGTGTTTTGTATTACAAAACCTTTTGAGTGGAGACTGGAAGTTCCCTTCTTTTCATGGATGAATTTCCTAATCTAGAGCAAAAGCAGTTCATGCTCTCTGTCTCAGACTTGGATAAAAATGGAGTAGCTTCTGCAAGATGGTTAGAAAGCCAAAGTCATCCTGATGTGATCTCCTTCTAAGACTGGTGTGAACTTGTATTTGCATATTTGTCATACATGTTTTAAGTTCTTGAACCACTAAGCTCTTGTGCAATGGAGTGACGGGATTGAAATAAAAAAGAAATTAGAAAAACCCAACACAAAAAATCCTCACACCAAAACAAGCCAAAAACTCCAGCTTCTTTCTAAACAACTTACTCTTCTAGGCATTAAGAAAGTAGTCCTATGCAATTGAGTCCTTCAGGCTGGATGAGGAAGGTCTGCATCTTGTTGAAAGTGCCAAATGCTTTGCTGCTGCCAAGAGTGAAATCCTCAGAGGCATCCCCAGGAGGAGACCTGTAGGCAGAATGGGAATTCACTGTTGAAAGCTAAGACATCCAGAGAGGCCTGTGTGTCTAAGCTGCAGCTGAAGCAAGATTTGTAGCCTTCTGGATTTAGGTGCTGAGGTGCTGACAAGCTTTTGCATTTGTTGCCATTTGAAGAATCTCAGTTGTTTTTAAGTGGAACCTCTGTCRTCTCCCACACTATCTAGAGGAGAAAGCTAAAAGTAATATTGTGGTAATGAATGATGGATCAGTTTCACAAGTAATTCCTAAGATTAGAAACATTTTTCTTTTTCATCAACTCCACTCCCCCAAAACCAAAACCCCAAACCACCTTGAACTAGAAGGCTGTTACTGTCTTGGCTCACCAGATTTACTGGGTGTAGTGGAGTAAATTGGAAAAATCTAATTTATGGCTACTTGAGCCACAAGGAGGCAGGCTTTTCCTGTGGAACTGGTTATTACCCTGTATGTAGTGCTAGTTTTCCATATTCTGGTTTTATTTGTTTTGCCTTTTTTCTTTATTTTGGATCAGACTCTTGGTAAGTGACTGTACCAGAGCTAGCTGAGATGAAATAAAACCAAAGGTAAAAGATGATGCTTCATCTTGAGTATGTGGCTGATTAAAGTGTGTCAGTCATTAGGTAATGCAGGGGAAAAATAAGCAAGCCTTGGAAGTTCTTGTTCTGTAAGAATAAAATAACTAATTTCAGCATAMACAAAGCTTTCTTTTCCTCTTTGGGATTTTTTTTTAACCCCTCTACTATTTCASTTACTGTTACAGGAGGCTTTTATTGTCATTTTACATAATGACAAACATAGTGCTCTTGCTCTTTTTCTGCATCAACTACAAATTGGTTACCTAAGGTTTTTTTTCACCGTCTCAGTAAGGAGGAAAGGAAATGCGCCTTAATTTTAGGTTCATTAATCTGTTTATGTGCAACTTGAGTGTTTCTCTTGAGGTATGTGAAACAAAGGGGTTAATAGTAACCACTCCAATTCTGTTGGTTTCTTTC